AAAGCAGTCCATGGTGTCGCCCGACACTCCTGATCTGACATCGAATGCTGCCCAAAGCAGGCAAAGCTAAGGACAGGAACTCTGAACTCCGTCAAAAGTTGCGCTAGATCGAGTCTAGGATAGGATAGGAATTTGACCGAACTTTGTCTTTGTTGATTGAATTTGTAATTATATTTCGCTCTTCGAGCCTATTCAGTCAAACTGTCCAAAAGTTCATGCTCATGTAAGATGCATTAAATTAGTTTGCGTCAGTCCCGACAGCCACGCTGCAATTTAGATCTCGATTCTCGTCGGATGTAAATGTAGGTTTAATTAAAAATAGAAGACAGAAAATGCGAGGAAACGATCAGTGTTGGTCGATGTGTTGGTGCCCCTGGGAAAACGGGTTTTGAAGCAGAAATTCTACGCTCTAAAGAGTACTTTTATACAGAACAAGAACACTGAAAAAAAGTGGACAAGTTTCTTGAGAAAACACGATCCGAACAAATTTGGGATTACGCAGTTTTACGCTGTTTAGAAAAGGGAGAAAAATTTTGCGCTCCCGGCATAGAGAGGGACTGGGGCCGGTTTCTCGAAAGTCCCGATAATTAACGGGACCGGGGTAAGCTGTCGCCGTTTACATTGAGATGGAGGTCTCAATAGTTTTGCATCTAGCATGATAAAACCATCAGTTAGTGAAACAAAATGGAGTAGTCTGCTAGCCAGGACCCCCTGCTCTTATTCTTTATGTTTCGATTTGAATATTTGATTTCGGGCCCGAAAAGTTACCGGGACTTTCGAGAAACGGGCCCCAGGGCTCCCTCCCTTGTCGCGCCGACCCAGTAAGAACGCGAAAAACAGACGGAAAAACCACCTCGGAATCCAACTTCGCTTGAATTGGAAATACCATCAGTCGCCTCCATACGAATTTGACAAAAGAAAAGCTTAGGAGAAACATGTCCTCTACGCCGGGGTAAGTTTCCATGATAACTGAGTTACCGGGTGGCTGATCGAATTGGCCCGTATTTTAGCCGCACGATTAATTCCTGTCTTGTTTTTCTGGATTTGGCGGGGATAGAAATTCTGGGTTAAAATAAGCACCTTAGGGTCTTGAGTTTGTCTCGGTGCGTAGTTGATTTTAGCTAAGGTCTCTTCAGTAATCCAAGGTGTGGTGGATAATTTCTTTTCCTTCTTCGACATTGAAAAGTGAATAGACCTTGTCGCGGTACGTCGGCGCCATCTTGACGAGTAGGCAAACGTGTAAGAAATTACAGTGGTTGTATGAGAATCCAATGTCGAATAATTTCCGTAAAACGGCTGTTCTGAAAAAAATATCAGTTGTAAACTAAAGCTACAAGGCAAAAGATTGTCCTAAAAAATTTGGGGGGCGTACCTGTGCTTAAATTTCTCCAGAGGCTTGCTTTAGATTTTCCATACATTTGTCTGTAATTTCCCCGAGACTTCCTTACAGACAAATGTATGGAAAATTTAAAAAAGTGGTTCTAGGTTTTCTAGTGCATGTAACGCTTTCAAATTTTTTCAGGACAATCCTTAGGAGTCAAGCTTTAGTTTACAACTGATATTTTTTTCAGAACAGCCGTTCTATGGAAATGATTTGACAGTAGATTTTCATACAA